ATTTGAATAAAACGATTCTGAATCAGACATGCCAATAATCAGAATTTTAAGTTTAACCCGAAGCTGCCCAATCTGTCGATATGAAAAGATCTGGTGGCTCAGTCTAACCTGTTCTACATAATTCCATATACTTTACTTCATATATTTGATGTCTTTTGTATGTATATCAAATGCAGAAAGTAGTAAACATATAGAAAAAAAAAAAAAACACTGAATGAGAAAGTGAGTCCAAACTTTTTTCTGTTAGTGTATGTTCAGCATTACATTATAGCAGAAACATATGGACGACTGACACATTCATCTCCTCCCATCATCGTCAATTCTGGCTCCTTTCCTTTTTCCACATTTCAGCTACATTTTCCCAGCATTCCCCTGCACACCTGCCCTTCAATCACCATTCCAGCAGTCCTCCATTTGTCTTTTTATCTCCCTCCCTCCCTTCCATCCATTGTGCGCGCGTCCTCATAGGTGAACTTTAATTATTGGGCGTAAATCTCCGCTGTAGTCGAATCACGTTTTTACTGCCACATTAAAAACTCTAGAGGACATTGCCACTAAACGCTTCCCTATTTTCAAATCCTCCCAGTACCCGTTCCGTCTTTCCCCTGAGTAATGCATTGCCTATTCCGCGTCTACCCTCTCATTAGTATTTCTAGACAGTCTATTGTATAAAATGTGTTTGGGTGCGGCGTCAGAATCCCGGGACGAAGAATGATGCCACGATAACGTGACAGTGATTGGTTGACTTGGGGCCGTCGTCATGGCGATGGAGATTGTTGATGTGTTAGCATGCGGAGTGTGTCACCTGCTGCCTGCGTGCCTTCCCACTCACTCAGTTCAGATGTCTGCATAGGTCTGTGTGGGTGGAGAGACAGGTCTAGAGGAGCATGGGTAATAACTCCATAGGACCTATAGGCTCCGAATACATTTCCAAGGATTGTGGATTAGATAAAAAGCAGTTGTAACGTTGGATGAATCTGAATGTCGAAGTTAAAGGTGTATTATGTAACTTTTTTGAGTGGGAGTTTTCCATCTGTTTTCCTTCATGGAGATGTCATTGCTTTGCTTAGAATAACTCTGTAGAACCTACAAACTCTGAATACATCTCCAGGGATTATGGATTAGGTAAAGGTGTTTATAACATGGAATGAATTTGAATGTTGAAGTTAAAGGTGCATTATGTAACTTTTCGAGTGGGAGTTTTCCATCTGTTTGCCTTCATGAAGATGTCATTGCTTTGCCTAGAATAACTCCATAGGATCTACAAACTCTGAATACATCTCCATTGATTACGGATTAGGTAAAGGTGTTTGTAATTTAGATGAAGTTGAATGTCGAAGTTAAAGGTGCATTATGTAACTTTTGTGGTTGGGACTTTGCCAGCTACTTGTCTTCATGAAGATGTCATTGCTTTGCCTAGAATAACTCTGTAGAACCTACAAACTCTGAACACATGTCCAGGGATTATGGATTAGGTAAAGGTGGTTGTAACATGGAACATGGGATGAATTTGAATGTTGAAGTTAAAGGTGCATTGTGTTACTTTTTGGGTGGGAGTTTGCCACCTGTTTGTCTTCATGAAGATGTCATTGCTTTGCTTAGAATAACTCCGTAGGACCTACAAACTCTAAATACATCTTCAAGGATTATGGATTAGGTAAATGTGTTTGTAACATGGGATGAATTTGAATGCTGAAGTTAAAGGTGCATTGTGTAACTTTTCTGTTGAGGTTGCTTCTTCAATTCTGACAGGGTAGGCAGAGAGGAGCTAATTCAATTTACAGCCACACCCTAGTTGTTTGCTGTAAGGAGTATTTGTTAGTTAAAGGGCCTGTACCCATTTTTTTCATGTATTTAAGCAAAATTTGTCTTGCCCTAGTACACATACGTCTTTTGTACAAGCATCTAGGTAGAAAGCATGTTACTGTCTGATAATCAGGAAGTGTGCCTTAGCATGACAGTTGTTGTTAGCGTTACCGTCACGTTGGTCTTTGAGAGTTGTGGAAAGCACTTAGAAACTCATCACGGTGAATAATTAGAATCTTTGGAAAATAACAATAACTTTGAACCGCTGCAAACTGTTTAAAATGAACAAGTTCCAACAGTAAAAATCAATTACAACAACTTAAAATTCAGCTACCCTAAGGTGTGAGCTGTTATGATAGAAAAGTTACATCGTGCAGTTGTCCATGGGTATCGACTAGTCTATGTGGTTTCATTTTGATACGGCTCAAGATTAGGGGTGTAACAATATCCAAGTCTCACGATACAATATCTTCACGGGATGAACCTCACAGGACGATATTCATTGCGATATCTTGGGAAAGATCACGATATGGTGGGGAGGCTCACGATTAGGGACATAGCAATATCCAGATCTCTTGGTACGATTTTCGCGATATACATCTCATGGTATGATATTTGTTGTGATATTTTGTGGAGGCTAACAAAACTGTTAATATGCAACTTTTTCCTCTCAAAATGCCTTGACAAGACTTAATCCAAAGAACTAAGACTTTAAAGTGCTTAGAACAGTTATTTCTTCATGTAGTCTGCACTGAAATGGAGCAAAGGATCATGGTCTATGTAGTTCCCTCTGTCTTTTTTTTTAGCCATTGCTGCAGCATAACTCTTAATTTAAGCAAAGAGACTTGTAATTCGATATATTGTGATGGTCCATGACATTACTGAGAACTTTGATGATACGATGTCACGATATTTCGGTTATTGTTACATCCCTACTCAAGACCATTCTAAAATTATTCAGGAAAGGTTCATTTCTGTCCTGTGAATGTGACTTTTTTAGTATCAATACCTGCTCAAACAAGTAGTTTTGATACTAGCTTTAGTGTCGATTAGTACCTGATTTCTTTACTTTAGACAACCCTAAACGCATCAAATGTTGTTAAAGTACTCATGCTGGATATAACTCTTCTTTTAATAAGGACAGTCCGCACTGCAAATAGCATGGGAATTTAAACAATATAATTGTATAAGTATTAATTAAATACACACCCCTTGCAGGCAAACACTTCTTATTTGATTCCTTTTGACTGTCAAGACTATATAAAGCTTCTGTAATCTTAAGAAAGCAAAGAACAATTCCCCCAAATGTCCATCACTACAAAGCACACACTTTTTGCCTTAGATAAAATGAAATGAATAAACAGTGGCTTGCACAGGTGGTAATCCCCAGAGTGACATAAGACAACATCAGACTTGCGAAGAGCGAGAAAGATAAAATGTAAAATTGACATCGCATAATAGATGGCAAATGCTTCTTTTCTGAGCGCCAGCAGTGTCTCTGATTAGGAGGCTCCAAACAAAACACAAACACCAAGGGAATTCTCCACCGCTCAGAATATGACCTGCTTTTTTTTTTTTTTTTTTTGCTTTTTTTGTTCAAAAAGACTCAATGCTGTCCTGTTTTTCCTCTCTCCTTTCTCCCCATGCCCCCTTCCATCTTTGCTGTGATGGTCTCCTCCTGAGCTGCACAACATGTTGCAAAATCATTTCAGTATTATCTTAACACAGAATCAGTTGAATGCTGTGTTTCTTTAATATAATCACACTTTTTTGTGTACACATCACTTCAGATATTTCCGTGATGATGATATGTATAGACAGTGATACAAAGGATGTAAAGTTATTATTGTTTAAATCATATTGTACACCGTTGTACACAGCCCCCCTCTGGATTAATTACAAAAAAGCCAGTTTGCAAAGACTGCAGGTGGCCTACAATGATAATTTACGCTGCTTTTGAGGAAGCAACAATGGACGAGCGCGACAGACATGTTTGTTACTGCACAAGTGAACACTCCTCAAGCTGCTCTAAGAATTTTAATGTACAGTTTCATTTGCAGGCTGAACAAATCAGACAATGGAATAATGTCACTCACAAATATGAGATTCAGTGCGATAAGATATCAATCCAAAATGTAGAGACACTGGTATGGTTGTCTTTTATAAACATAAATGCTTGTTCTTTTGTAATGTCACTGTCCTTGTTTGTCAGAATAAAGATGATGATGATACAAGGTTAAAATGGAATGGGAAGTCACTATATAAATGTTAATGCTACAATTATTGTGGGAATAAACATGATTTTGGAACCGTCATTGGAGCTAATTTTGAATTGAAATCACTTTTTTGTTCTGAAATACTCACGTTTTTATTACACTTGACATTCCAACTGGGTATTTTAAGTGTAATGTTAATTATATCCATATTTCTTGTTCTGGTCCCAGTTTTCTCTTTGTAAAAGCCCCACTGTGTAATAGTTCAGCCAAAAAAAGTCTTACTGTGATCAGACTTGCCACTCTCCAGACCTGACGTTTAACTTGCGTGGGTGGTGGGCAAGAAGGCTGCTAAAATGTTTCACAGTGTAGCTTTGCTGCTTTAACTCAGATACATTTATGCCAAATATTATTTATTTTTTGTGGAATTATATCTCACAGAATAAAAGCATTTGGTAGCACTTTACACTTTTAATAGAATGATTCAGACTTTGTTACTACTTAATAAATACCCTAAACTTCCTAGCCCTAACCCCTTAATAAACGTTTTGTTCATTATGAATTAAATTTTTGTTTGCTTTATTAAAAATGCTCTGGTGCAATATGTACAAACCCAGTGTAATTGTTTTTGATCATATTGTTGAATTATATTGTTCATCTTGTTGTATTTTGTGGCTGTTTTTTAACCTTTAGTCTTAGTTTTGGCTCAAATTTGACTTATTCTATGTCTAACGGTTATGTGTGAGTGTGTACGTTGATTTTGTTGTTTTGTTTTTTCTATGTTTATTTGAATTTATGTAGCCTACTGTCTGTTCTACTCTTATCTGTCTTCTGTTGTTGTGACTACGAGGACCCTCTCAAAAACGAGATGGCGAGACAAATAAATTCAAAGTTTAAATGTATTTTCAAAGTATGCTTTTATTCTGTGTCTAGCTTCACACAGCCATATCCAACCCCTCTTTGTTTTCTGTGTGTTTGCAGTGTGTAAGCCTGGATTCTACCGCTCTGTGCTGGAGGCCCTATCGTGCAGTAAGTGCCCTCCCCACAGTGTGGCCAGGCAGCCCGGGGCCACCTCCTGCAGCTGTGAGGACGGCTACTACAAGATAGAGTCAGATCCACCAGCCATGGCATGCACACGTAAGGACAAATTAGGATGCGTTTTTTTTAATTATTATTAGTATATTTGTTATGCATGGTTAATTTATTCTGAAATATATACACTAGTGAGGCCTAAAGGTGAATTATGTAACTTTTGGTTGGGGATCCGCCACTTGCTTTTTTGTATGGATATGTCATTGCTCTGCTTGGAATGTTCCACAGTATGGCATTAAACAGCTGTACCTTACATTTATTCAATTACAGGTGGTTTTATAGTTCAAAAATACCTAGAAAAACAGACATTCTGACTGTGGGCGGGGTTGCCTCTCCACAGATCTGACCTGTAACTTGGTCTGGTTTGGTCTCCATGAAAATAGAAAAGTTTAATGCCATACTGTGAAACATTCCAGACAAAGCAATAGCATCTCCATGGAGTAAAGCATTTGACAGAGCCTCCGCCAAAAAAAGTTACCCAATGCACCTTGCTGGGTTGCTTTTTATAGATTTTAGAGTGTGATGATATCATACTCTCAGATGGGTGAGCAAGAGCCAGTTTTCCTTTGCCATGAAATAGCCAATTCCACAAATGTTGAACCTGATCATCTATTTGTGACTAGACCCAAGAATTATGACAAATAATATTAATTTTACCTGCCCCATCTGTATGAACTATAATTGCCCTGTATAGAATGTTGTGGTGTCACCTGAAACCCAGCAGTAGGTTGGTTCACATGACATCAAAACCTAGCAATGGTGATATCTGGATGCGGTTTATGGTTAATATCTTAGAAATTACAAGGCTTATGCACAGTAAACAAAAGCTTTTTCTCAGCAAACTCAACGTATTGGGGCAAAATGAGATTAAAAGGCAATATTATTGTCAGTTGAAGTTCGAGTTCTCTATGTGGACCTATTGCCTAACAAACAACGATAAGGTCATAAGGTCGTACAGTACAACTCCCATAAAGTTATTTAGACCCCATCCACATTAGTACGTGTTCAAGTCATTTTCGTTGCGGATGCAGTGTTCGTTCACACTAATCCGATAGAAAACTGCTCCGGAGGCAGAACGATCTGTGTGGACGCCTGAAAACACTGATACACTGATCTAAGTCTATGTGCCGCAAAGTAATTCACCAATAAAACGCTAAGAGGCTAGAATATATGTCCATTCATATATACAGTCTATGTGTATGACCTGCAGATGGATAATCTCTGAAAAGAAGCACACAACAGACTCACCATCAGCAGAACACACCCCTCTGTTACAAAAAGAACACACTAATCCACTGAGTTGTGTCCTTTAGTCTGACAGAATCTGAACTGCATCATCAATTTATGCAAATTATCCATGCAGTTTTAAGTTTAGTTTCTGTAAAACATAAACAAATGTGTCAAAGCTGTTTGAATAGGGAAGGCTTGCGGACACAGAAACGACGTGTCTGGACGCAAGTGATTTCTAATACGGTGATTCGTTTCAGTGTAAACGTAGTCTTAGTCTTATTGGAAATTTTAAACACAAAATACAGGAATTTCATAAACACAACCTATTCACATGTTTCAGCTTACTGTTTATATGTGCCTTTTTGATTTTGTTTGTTAAATCTCCATCACTGAAACCCATGGATAGGGAATGTAAATCGTCCAATGAAAATAGTCGCTGGGATAGTATCTAACCCAGTGGAACTTAAATAAACAGACTAAATAAGTGAAAAATCAGTAGTAGTGGAATTTAAATGATTAAGCTCAAATGAACTTGTCAAAAGGCACTCTGGCAGCGCTGACAGTGTAGTGGGAGGAGGACAGCACAGTTGTAGGCACAGTATGACATCACACTAGATTTGGCTGCTAAAGAAATGTGTCAACTGGCAAAAGTCTGCAGCTTTTCAGGCAACCAAAAACACCACCAAAATTTAAGTTTATCGGATTTATGTGGATAAAATTGGCATATAATAATATCGAGGACTTGGTTGCAGCACATAAAATCAAGACTTGCAGTAATTGGTTTTGTTACGTTCCTTTCTTTTATTTTCTTAAAGGTCCTTCATTATGCAAAACTGACTCTTGTGAGCTTTTAGTCATGTTGTTACCTGCCCAAAAACATAGCTGGAGTTGTGTTTTGTTATATTCACGTTTGAGCCACCCTTTGTTATGAGTGTTTACATCTCCAGAGCTTAAGATTCAAGATTCAGGATTCAATTGCTTTATTGTCATTGTCATAAAAAAATAACAATGAAGTTGCATTAGAGCAGGGGTCTCCAACCTGTAGCTCTCTACCTCTTTTCAAGTAGCTCACCAAGGGATTTATGAATTATATGTATTAGAATAACTCAAAATTGATTACTTACATGACTATTACCACTTGTGCTTAACTCTGTGCACTAATAAGTGAAGAACGGTTTAGGCATCTAACTGTCTAATGCTTGCCCTGTTTCTTGTATCAATTTCTTGCAACCCCTAAAATGAGTAGCTCTCTGGTATATTCATTTTGTAAAAGTAGCTCACTGGAGGAAAAAGGTTGAAGACACCTGCGTTAGAGCATCACGGACTGCATAGTATATTAAAAGTGCATAATAGTGTAGAGCACCCATCCAATAACTTTCTCCACATAAACATTACACCCACTATGAGAAACGCTTATGATCCCAGGGCTGAAAGTATTCAAGTAATTCTATTGGTGTATGGAGTTTAAAAACACAGTGCAGCATTTCCCATATTATCGCATGAAAAGCATTTGTGTGTTTAACATGTGTAACAGAAACAAAACACAACTCCAAGTATGTTTGTGATGTGGAAACAACATTATAACAGATTAGAGAATGTCGTAATATGGGCCCTTTAATTATATATATAAAACATTTCGTTTATGGGTTATGATTAACTAAAGATTTACAGATTTAAACCATAACACTATTTCCTGAAAAACATAAGAGATTTGCTTTTTTGTTTTTGTGCGTGTTTGAGGAATTTGCGTAATAATAAGTTGCGTCCTTAAAGGTGCACTATGTCACTTTTCGGTTGGGGGGATCTGTTATCTTTTTGTTTCTATGGAGATATCACTTCTCTGCTTGAAATGTGGCATTAAACAGCACATTTTTTCAATTACAAGTGGTGTTATTGCTCAAAAATAACTAGAAAAACTGGCATTCTGATTGTGAGCGATGTCGCCTCTCCATAAAACCGATCTGTAAACTTGCCTGGTTTGGTCTCCATGAAGATACAAAGGTTTAATGCCATAGTGTGAAACATATCAGACAAAGCAATAACATCTCCATGGAGAAGCAACTGTTTTTCTGCATAACAGAAATTTCTGAAATACAAAAATTTTTTACAGAATTTATACAGAATAGATGGAGTTGTATTGAATAAACTGACATGACTAGCAACTGTTTTGATTTTCTTATATACTCACCACCTAACACCTATGTCCAGGCCCTCCATCAGCCCCCCGCAATGCCATCTCCAACGTCAACGAGACCAGCGTGTTCCTGGAGTGGTCCGTTCCCATGGAGACCGGGGGGAGGAAGGACGTGCGCTACAACATCCTGTGCAGGCGGGTTCTACCGGAGGGGCGGGGCTTGGACGAGTGCGGGCCTAATGTTCGCTTCCTCCCCCGTCGCCTGGGCCTGTCCAACACCTCCAGTCATGGTGGCCGATCTACAGTCTCACACCAACTACAGCTTTCTCCTGGAGGCGGTCAATGGCGTAACAGACCTTGCCAAAGAGCACGCCAGACAGTATGTGACGCTCAATGTGACCACCAACCAGGCAGGTAAGGATGAGCAATTATACCTGCTGGTTTATTTTGTCATAAGCAGTGCTGTTGTATTGTATGAAATCCCCGTACCGTTCTTACTGCTTGAATTCAGAGTATTAAATGTGTACGGTGTAACTTTTCTGGTGTGTTGTCCACCACCAGAAATGAAGTACTTTGCCTGGAACAGTAGCTCACAATAATAAAACATATATAGTATACTCAGTATTAGGGGTGAGTATGAGTAACGGTACACAAAAATCATAGTTCAGTACATACGTCCGTTTTGAGGTCACAGTTCGGTTAATTTTCGGTACAGTATGAGAACAAAAATGCAAAACCATTTGCTTGTTGTTTATTTGTGTTTTATTAAACCAAACATTTTTTTAACATTATACAAATGGGAAAATAAAATAAATGCAAAGTGCTGCTTGGTAATACTAATAAGTTAAATAAAATATTGTCAAATAAGCAACAAATGTATGAAATATTATATATTAATATAATAAATTCCTTCTAAACAGTAAACAAAACTTCTCAAATAGTAAAGCACAGCACTAACAGTTCCAGGATGAAGTTTTTCCATGCCGGCAAAAGGCGAAAGTGAGGACCGGGGCGTGACAACTGTAGTTTTGTGAGGATTCACGTGGTTCAGAGGGATGGAGTCAAAGCGGGGGGCAACTGTTGTCAAGGGGGCCACACTAACTATAAAGCGCTGCAGGAAACGTTACCACTCCGATCACGGACCAGGTCTCTCATGAATATTAAAGAGCTGAACCTTCCGTGCAGATGCACATGTAGCAGCAGAATATAAACACACACAAATGTGAATTCACTCGTGCACTGCTCTGTACCGAACTGGACATCCCATACTAAAACGGTTTGGCACAAATACATGTACCGTTACACCCCTACTCAGTATACTCTATATAGTGACATGTTAGTGTCATATGAAACATCTTGCACTCTGAGGACCTCAGGGACCGGCCTCCTGCTGGTGCCCAGAGTCAGGACTAAACAAGGGGAGTCAGCGTTTCAGGTTCATGCAGCTAAAACCTGGAACAGTCTTCCTGAACATGTGAGACAGACTCTTCTGTGACGCTGTTTAAATCCAGACTCAAAACATTTCTGTTTGACTGTGCAAATAACTGAAAGGTTTTCATTCCGCACTCTTCTCTCCAATTTATGTCTCTCTTTTTTTATTTTAATCTTCACGATTATTTATGTTTTGATTTGTTTTTATTATGATTTTAATGTATTTCTTATTCTGTAAAGCACTTTGAATTACTTTGTGTACGAATTGTGCTATACAAATAAACTTGCCTTGCCTTGCCTACTCAGTAGGGGTGTAACGGTAAGAAAATAAAATGAAAAAATAAAGCAGGTAGTGCACCTTCCTTCCAAAAAGTGGTAGTAACATAAGGATTCAAGGGCAAGCATTCAAAAGTATTGTTCAGTGCCAATGGATTTTCTAATTCCTAATTCTGGAAACTTTAGTGATCTAAACAATGTTTAAAATATTATGCAGATACTTGTTTGTTTGGTAGAGGTGTTTTAAACCAATGTGTTTGGTTGTGACCAGAGAGAAAATTGAGTACATTTTTAAAGTCCATTATTATACAATAAATATAAAGCTTTGCTATTAGTTGTCATAACTGAAGTCGTGCGACTTTCATTCATTCCACTCAGTCATGCCTCTCAGTTCCTTACTAAAACTGGCGTAGACGGGCGATGGTGTCACATGGCTGGCGTGTGTATAATAGTTTAGTAACAAAGACGCCAGATGATCATATTATCATCATGTATTTGTCCAACAGATCTGTCGCTGTATTAATTTTCGCTCGTGCTCCCTCCCCACGGTGAGGCAGAGACGCGCTGAAAGGCCCTTTGTTTTAGCGTGGAGATATTTTCATTGGAATAGCAGCTTGGGCTACTCAATTAGGCACCACGTTTGGATCAACACGGTGAACGGGAAATAAAATAAATGAACGCTGATGTCTGGGAGGGTGTATACGGGAGAGGCAGCAGGTGCTATTCTGCAGGCCTGTCAGGACTGATTAATGGGACAACTCAAGTTTTTGCATTGGCTGGAGAGGAGCTGTTCAGAGCAGGTTTGGGTGAAATTGTGAGGTGGCATTTGCAATGAAAAAACAGATAGAATATTGGAGCAGTTTGGATTAAAAAAAATAAAATAAAAATGCTTTGACTTTCCTGTGTTACAACATTTTCTCACATACACACATTGACATAAACACACATAGACACATCAGGCTGTATACTGTAGATCAGTGTTTCCTAAACTTTTTTTCTGGGGACTCATATTTTAAAAGTCACATATAGTCACCTGTTTGGACAGTAAATGTAGCCCTTTTCTTTTTCTTTTCAACATTCAATTGAACCAGCAATACTGGAACAAAACAGTCAATAAAATCATTACAAAAAGATTAGAAATCATTCAAAAATGTCTTAAGATTTCAACATTTCTAATGAGATAGGTGGGCCTGTCTGCGTTTTTGTAGCGTGTTCCAGTCTGGGGTGCAGGAGGAGAGCACAACACATATCGGGCGACCCAAAAAAATTTCTTGCGATCCACCTGAGGGTCGGGATCCAGTCTTTGAGAAACAATGTTGTAGATTCCCCAATAGTCTATGATCTATGGACATTAACAACAACAAAATACACTTAAAGAAGAGCTATTATGCATATTTTTTGTTTTGTTTTGTTTTGTTTCCTTATCAAAAACATGCCTGAAGAAATTTTAGATATCATCCATATGTTTCAGTAATGTAACGATCTCTCCCAGGCCCTATTTGAACGCTCCTGATGGTTAGTTGTAAGAGTTTATGCAAAGCTCAGCACACAAGCCTACGTCATCCATGCTCCCACATGACAATTCTCCATAAATATACAAAAGCATGATAAGAGACTGTAGTTATTTCCTATGTAATCCCTCAGTTGTCCAGGTTGGCTCCATAGCAAAAGATGAAAGAGTGAAAAAAAAAAGGAGTGTCTGTAGCCAATAGTTGTTAGATGTTTGTTTGGGTCATACCTTGGGGTCGTGCAATGGATTTACCTAATAAATAATCCTTACGAACTACAGGGTCTGTGAGTTTCAGTGTAGTTAGCTGCTCCTTTCAGAAAGATATTTAAATCAATCCAGTGCCGGAGCGAGCAATTTTGGGGTCCTAGGCGAACTTGAGTTTGGGCCCCTCACTATAATGCACCATTTTTTTTTTTTGTTTTTTTTGCTTTGCTTTTAATATATTTATTGTTTGATTTTCCCCATTGTTCTTAAGACACGCACATTTGTATTTATTTGAGTTATGGTGGATTGGAAACTTGTCTTATTAGTTCAGTCCGCCTACTCAATCCAATACTAATACTAATACTAATCAGAACTGAAAGCAGTTTTTTTTTTTTTTTTTTTGCCCGTACAATTGCATTTCTGTTTATATCCATTACATACTGTATGATCATGATTATTTTTCTTATGATTATTGTTTAAAAGTAAACTTTGCTCTTTTAATGCCATATTGAGAGAAAATGTAATTGCTCTGAGGCCTTGGACATGAGTGGCAATGAGAGCAATTGGTTGGGGGCCCCTGCAGGTTTGGGGGCCCTAGGCAGTCGTCTACTGTTGCCTGATGGTAGCAGTGCCTCTGAACCAATCCTTTTCAGACAACTCTATAAACTTTTGTCCAGTTGACACGATTCAACCTTCTGTTGCTATTTCCAAAAGTAGTAGCCGGCGAGTTGTAGTTTAATAGTGTCTGTTTATTATGGCTCATTCAGCTACTTAATGCCTTAGAGCAATACGTTTTGGTTCCCAAGCTTGGTTGAACTTTTTGTGTGGAGTTTGCATGTTATCCCTGTGTCTTGTGGGGCTGCCTCCGGATACTCCACTTTCCCCCAGCTAAAATGGTTCTGTCCAAACTTAGCTCAACATCTGGGTCCCTGGACGCCCGAATTGCTTACTACTCCACACAGGCTGCTGCAGAAGTATTGTGGAAAGGATCAAATATAGAGGGCAAGCTTCACTATGGGCACAATAAAGAATACATTCACTTTTTCTATTATATTAGCTAATACAAGTAATAAGTACCCTTTTTGCCCATTGGCCTAAATATATGATGCCGTTTCATGACTCGTAGTAGTTTTATTTAATCCCAAATATATATATATTTTTTTTTCTAATCCAGATCTGGCACACTGTTATTAACCATATTTTTTATTCTCATGTATTCAAGCAAAATGTGTCTTGCCCCAGTACACATATATTGTAAAAGAGCTCCTGAGAATTGAAGCTGTTTCATTGTCCGATAATTAGGATGGGCACATTAGCATGCTAGTTGTTGTTTGCTTTAATGTGATGATAAAACTCTGCTCTGGTCTCTGTGAGTTGTGAAAAGCGCTTTTAAACTCAGCTCAGACTCTAAAATGTAAGTGAGGATCACAACGTAAAAGTGAAAGACGGTTTAATTTAGGAATTACACAAAGAGAAACTGCATATTTATTTAAATCACGTATTTACCCGCACAAAATTTCACTCAAGAGATTCACTTGTGTAAAGGTTTATTCATTTGAGCACGTTTTAGTGATAAGAAAGTTTTTGTCATTTGTCTGTTTACTTTCTAAACACAATCAACAACAACAGCACAAAACAGCACTTTAACTCCCATCACTCATCTGCCCGGTGGCCTGCCATTAAAGACTGCAGTGTACTTGGGTGACTCTACTCCCCATAGCTGTAAATAATGAATACTTAGTGGGATGGGTCATAATGGAGATGGAGATGCACATGTACCTTGGGAGACTGTTTTATGTTTACTAGAGTGTGTTTTATTTTATGTGCTCGTAATGAAATGGGGAGCCCACAGTGTAGTAAAATGAGAAAAATATGAGATTATCGTCCTTCTCCCCGAGGCTTGGAGGTTAGAGAGAAAAAACAATATTCAAAAATTGTGGGTGTTTAAATAAATGGTCATTTAAAAAGTGATTGAATATAGAGGGAGCAGTAG